AATATATTGGACAAAACATAGTAATATTTTATTTTACCGTATTATAATAATAAGTCTCTATCTAGGACGTCCACGTGGCAGCTTTATTGCGAAGAAAACGCATTTTTTTTACAATAGATGTCGCTAGGTGCGTTTTAATGTGATTCATGTAAGTTGATTTCTTTTCAATAGATGTCGCTAAATGTGCTTGAACGTGATTCATGTAAGTTGATTTTTCTGAGAGATAAACTTTTTTAATGTAATATAAATTGACATGTTTGTGTACGACAGCGCAATAAATAAATATTGTATTCTACCACATACATAATAGTACTTTTTTTACTGATAATTAAAGCAACTCGTGCAAAATTATTCCCTATAACCATTCCAAAATATAAAAAATGCACAACGTTAATATTCAAGTTTTCCCTTCTGCCGGCACGCCCGGAGTGCAACCCGTCGTTTTTTTATGTTAAAATGGTGGCCATAGCCTATAGACGCTTGCAATACTTAAAAATAATACTCGCATCGTTGCCTTTCCTAACCCAATGTTATCTGTTGAGCCCAGGAGGCCTACTCTAATTCAACGGAAAACGAAATTTCGATCGAAACTTCGCCCTTTTCTTACTATATTTCAGGTTCGTTTTTAATTATAATAATATACGTCGTCGGAATATAGATTGAGGTGTAAATATTCTAAGCCTACTCAAAGAAAGCTTCAATTTGATAGTTTATCGTTCAAATTAAGTATAACATTAAATTGACAAAATTCAATTTCGTTTGAATTTCGTTACCGAAAGTTTGTTTCGGAGAAAGAGAGTAGACCTCCAGGAACCTCAGTCACCGACAGAAACACAACACCACCAAAAGATAGAGTTATTTTACTGTATAAGGTGGTCTTAGAGTCTGTGCGGAAAGAGAATGGGCGTGGCGAAAAACGGAACTAACATTAATTAAGACTTTTATGTGGCAATCAAACCCAGCAATCTGTAAAACGTCAAAGTTTTGTATTGATACGGATTTGTTTGTTGTTGTGATATCTTGCGGTTTTTTGTATTTAATCGTGTCTAAAAGGGGTAAAACCTTACAAATACAGTAGACAAGCACTACAGCGCCCTCCAATCTAAATCCCATGCTCTTTCCGCACAGACTCTAATAGAGTTTGCTTCCCCAAACAGGCTTAAAGCCTTTCTTATGAAAAATATTATATCTTAATATGTAAAAGTTTTTTCGTAGCTGGTTTTAAGAGTAATCCCACATATTTTGTTTCGTAAAAATAAGCTAATGTTTTTCGGTAACTGCGTTTTGACTTTGATAATCAAGCACAATATTCATAATTAAAGGGAAAATATACAGTAAAAGAAAGAGCACAAAAAGCAATTGAAAAAATGGCGTATAAACCTTTGAGTTTTCCTACAACTGATCTCTACTCTCTATGTAATGTCCTGACTGTTAGACAAATGTTTTTGCTAAAAACAATATTACGCAAGCATTGTTTTTCTCCCTTTCATGTAAATATCTTGAGGTTACATAGATTTCACAGTATATTTATTTATTAGAAACAAACGGTCATACATATCATCATCATCATCATCAACAGCCCATCTTAGTCCACTGCTGGACATAGGTCTCTCCAAATGCACGCCACTCAGATCGATCTTGGGCTACTCGCATCCAGCTCCTGCCAGCCACCTTGCGCAAATCGTCACTCCATCGTGCCTGAGGATATATAAATATAAACGTGAAAATATTGAGAATTTTAAATCACTACAGACCTATAGTTACCTTAATTATAAATAGTTGCTGTATAGCGAAAACCCAGCAAATCGAAGTGAGCTAACAATACAAATCGACCCAGCTCCCCGCCCGCGAAAACAAGGCAATGCTTCTACAGTAACACATTAATGTAAATAAAATTACATAAGTAAATAGGAGGAGCTGGATGGCGCAAGTGATTAGCCCGTTCGGCTGCGATCGTTGAATTTAAGCAACTTTCGCAGTGGTCGGTCATTGGATGGGTGACCAAAAATCTTCTATCTCGAGTTCCTTCGTGCTTCGGAAGGCACGTTAAGCCGTTGGTCCCGGCTGCATCTGCAGTCGTTAGCACCCGCCAATCCGCATTGGGCCCGCGTGCTGGGTCATGGCCCAATCTCCCTATTCCATCCATAGGGAAGACCTGTGCCCCAGCAGTGGGGACATTAATAGGCTGATGATGATGATGATGAAATAAAATTACTACGCACAATTAATAAACGGATACACACCAATGGACATTCACAAATGAAAAGCTGAACCAATCTGCACGATCAACCGACCACGAGAACGAAATTATTAACAAACCTTTTACAATGAACAAATTAGCGCTAATTAATTTAAACATAGGAAATTTCAGTAAATTAGAGGAAAAGCATATTGGCGTTACATGTGTGAGTATTAAGTTCTAAGCTACAATAATAATCAAACAGTGTACAATAAATAAATAAATATTTCCAACATTCACACCTTTTAGCCTAGCCCCAATCTAAGCTAAGGCTTGTGTTATGGGATACTAGGGTAACGGATAGAATACATTATACTGTACATATTTAGTATTTTTATATAGAAATACATATTAAACATCCTTGACTGGAGTACAAATGCTCGTATTCATCACACAAACACCTGCCCTCACCGTGATTCGAACCCGGGACTTCTCGATTCGGCAACACCATGAAACCCGGCGTACAAACCACTCGGGCAAGGAGGTGGACAATTTAAAAGCGTTCGTGATTTTGCCTATTGATGTATAAATATATCAATTGCGGTAAGTTTTTCATTTTGGTCAAACGTTATACATGCACGTCTGTAAGCACATTTTTAACGGAATAATAAAAAAAATATAAAATGGAATATAAAATAATTTTTGAAGTGAAACTTTTTTACGCACGCTTAACTTGGGGGGTAAGCTGGCGAATGCGTTACGCGTTACGAAAAGTGTGTTCGGGCGAGCCGAACGGCAGTTGAGTGGGGGATATAAGCAAGTGAAAGCAGTGCGCGCGCACATTTTCTTTCTCTCTTTCTCTTATAGCTAGTAAATGAAATATGTATATGTTATATCGACCTACGCGTAGAATAAAGTTACATATGAAAATGTTACCAAATTGCTTTTATTGTACATTTAGGCGAAACGGACGCATATGTTTTACTGGTAAAAACATTTATTCTAAAACTTATATAACTTTGAAGATAGCAATTGAATAAAGGTACATGTGATTTTTGTTTACGAAGAATATAGAGCCAAGAGCACAAGAACCTTTTGAATAGTCAAGAACGCAGCCTGCACGGCTTCAATTAGTTATAAACTGAGAATTTTTACTAAATGTTTGATTTTATTTTTCTTGTTTGATCGATTTTGCTCAATCTTTGCCATATTATCATAATGTGACGCGACAGAAAATATAAATTACGTAAAACAAAGTTATATCTACACATAATTTGACACGTTTCCCAAGCATAAGGTCTGATATGCATATGTAACATAAAGATGTCCGTAGTAAATTGTCACATAATCACATAAGAAACTCTTAAATAACGAAATATAAGCCGTACATATTGTTTTTTTTAAAAACAAGAAATGCGTCATAATTTGCTTCTTAATGCTTTATATGATTAGTAAAAAAATTCAAATGATAGAAAAATACCAATACAAGTTACAGCATATTTTACAATTTACAAACTTAAAGTCGCTCTACTAAAAAGTTGTGATTATGCAGAAGTAGCTTTATTCTATGAATAGGTCGATATGTACATACCTGTATATATTGTACACACGCATACACATAAATGTATATGTATATACAGATGGAGCTAAAGAAGTTTTACTTCAGTCGTGTGGTCATAAGCACACTCGTTTTTTTATCACGACAATTGCGTTCATAACTGCGAGGTTCTCTAAGATTTTTGTTATTTAGTATTATAAGTTGTTTTATTATAGTTTCGTCAAGTTGAAAAATAATTTCAGAGATGGTTCATGAAGTTACCTTTCATTACATAATGTTGTATTAAATATACAATAATTGTTTACCTGCATTTTGATTGCTGTGTCATGCAGTATAAATACAAACAGCGTTTTTATATAAAGTGTAACTAAACATTTACATCTTGAGTATTAAGGAAGTTAGGGCAGACTCAACTCCGCTGGCAGCACTCGTTCACGAGCATGATGCCATAGCCATGGTTTCATATTTTCTCAATATATTTTAACATATTTTAGGGAACGCAACGACCCGTCTCACACGACACCACCGAAGAGACTTTTAAGAGAGCATGAAATTATATTTACTTTGTAAACATCTATTTCTTCATTCATTTTTTTTCCGATTTTTCCGAAATTCATTCTTGTTTCCGATGATTCAATATTATTTTGATAAAACAAGTACAAAGAGGAACAAGCGTTAATCTTATTTAATAATAAGAAAAATGGAGTTTCAAGGCATTCAATAAAAATAACAATCAATCATATTTTTTATTTATTTGAAGAAATAGGGTAAAATAAGGTTAAATCTCCTTCGACCTTTTAATGTCAAGGGAGTTCGAATTCAGATTACTATAAACGAACAAGAGTAATGAAAAAAGTGTGAAAGCACTCACAATCTATTAATATGCAATGACAATATTTAAGTACCATGGATCACTTGGGGTAACAGTGACAAATTACACCGTTCCACATTACCCACATAAAAAATAATAGGGTGGGAACTGGCGAGGAAACCCCATAAAGCACTACAAATACAGAACATTCCCATCGCACACACATACGCGCTCGGGAAAAACAAGCGCGATTTAAGCAAATGAACAGCTTGGAAACGACTGCGTCTCTATTACGTCGGCCAACAGAATTCGCAAAGGAAAAAAATTCAGACGGCAGTATACTGACATTTATCTAATTACGGGTTCGCGATAAGGGCGTAGGGGTAGGTGGTGGGGGGTGGCATCCAGCGGGATACTGCACCAGTCGACTTGGAGCCGCTGTACGCGATAGACGTGTCCGCGCTCCGTCGCCGAATTCGCGATCCGGCAAATCACGTGTGTGATCTTTGAAACTTTCGACTTCATGTTTGGCTGCTGACGTTACAGTGCGACTGCCAGATGTGTTGGCGAGTGAGATGAAATGTGAATATTGTGTGATGAATACTTAGTTTCAACAACATGACTGTACTTCTAGTTTTTGGACTTTTCGTTGGTGAGTTTCGAAATAAATTTATATCTTTTTTTACTTAGATGCTTAACAATTTACTGCTTATTCAACTATCTCTACTTCGGTATTTTGAACCGACGAAAAAAACGGAGGAGGTTCTCAAGTCGACGCATATATTTTTTTAAACTCTTTATACATTAAATTTTGCGCTCTCAAAACAGCAAATATGATTAAGTTGAATTTTGGTGTGTCGATAGATAGATAAATTACACCTTAAACAAAAAAACAGATTACTGTAAAAAAGAAGTTGAAGGGGGTTGAAGTACTGAATGAAATAATATGAGCATAGTACCGAAAGATGCGACCATATTAACCAAATAAATGATACAATTCTTCTTGTTACCAATTTTTTATCTATTATACAGGGCGTCCCATTGCTACCTCACACAGAGGGAAAGTATATTAAATATTGAAGATATTTTACTGAAAGAAAACATCATTTTATTTTTAATAATAACTAGACTTGCATTCACAGATTTTTTAAACACTTCCTGCTACAACTGGGAATTGAACTCGTGAAATTAAAAAAAAAAACACAACATATTTTATAATAACCATCGAAAGGGTTAATCATAAGGATTGTTTTTTGCCTAATAATATAGCATTTTAAATTAAAGAAAAGTCACTAAATTTAACATTTAATTTAAAATTATTAAACACAAAGTAATATAAAAACGAAACTGTAATAATTTAATTTATCAAGTGTTCAAAATGTGACCCATTTTGTTGTATGCAAATTCTTACTCTAATAATAATTTCCCTGCCTGTCGATATATTACCTTTGCATGGTGAATGTTTGTAATAATACGTCTGAGTTCATTTTGTAAAACATGCTATAGTCACTATTTAATATACTTTCCCTCCGTGTGAGGTAGCCGTGGGACGCCCTGTATTGCTGGAGAGTTTGTTTATTTGTGCGATTCAACGCATTAATCTCAGGAATTACTGGTTTGAACTGGAAACATCATTTTTATAACATCACTATTTAATTTTCACTAAATATTTAGTCCCTATTAACACGCATCAGTGGTTCAGTGGTAGAAAGCTCAGTTGCTACTGGTAGAAAGCTCAGTTGCTACGCCTGCGGTCCGGGTTCAAATCCCAGCCGAAGAAGGACATTTTTTATAAAAGACTAGCTGACCCAGCGAACTTCGTACCACCATAAAAAAATGGGGGTTGGTGGTAGAAGGGTGAAAATTTAGGGTTGTATGTATTTCTGTATGATGTATCATAAAATAATTAAAAAAAATTACCTAAAATTGAAAAAAAAATATTAGGGGTGGATTACCCTTAACATTTAGGGGGATGAAAAATAGATGTTGTCCGATACTCAGACCTACCCAATATGCACTCAAAATTTCATGAGAATCGGGAAAGCCGTTTCGGAGGAGTTTAACCACAAACACCGCGACACGAGAATTTTATATATTAGATTTTAAAAGTTCCCCCTGCATTTTTGTTCTATTTATCGAGGATGTATATAAAACATCGCTACGATGAAAAATAGAGGAGCACCAATGAAATTGGTTGCAAAGACGGGAAACAATATTGTTTATGAGAAGTTATATTAATAAACGCGGGTATTAATATACGGGTGCTCTTTTCCGTTGCATGCGCTGTATGAACGATTGAAGCAACGCAAAAATCAAGTATGACGGAATTTAAAAGTATTAAGAAGAGTTCGCTACAATATTATATCTATTTCATAAGTGTTGAATATATTTATTTTTATACTAAGCGAGGGATAATTAGGCTCATTCTACCGACTATACCACGGCGAATGTTCTGAGGAGCTATTCTCCCTTATCCCTCCATCACCTTTTCTTCAGAGGACCACGCGAGCTGGCCTTATTTGCCACCAACTTATTGTGGCCACTATTCCTACATGAACAAAGAAATTTGGTGACTCATTAGTTTGTTGTACTATTTGTAAGTAGAATTATTGACCCGCGCACGTGTTCAATCCTTCCTATAATCTGGGGTTCTTTAAGAGAGGCGTGAAGAAGCATTTTTGCAGGCCGGCAAGGTGAGGATGGTTGGTGTAGCAGTTTAAAACTGTTGTACCAGCTATCTTCGCGTTTGGACTTTATCACCACTTAACATCAGGTGGGGTACAGTTATTTACCAACCTAGCTATAATAAAAAAAATATATGGTTATGAAATTTGTATTTTTTTTTCTTTAAATTAATGCAGATGAAACCTTGGGGTACAGCAACTTTGTGTCACGAGTGGGACGCAATGCCATGATATTCAGCAAAATGGAAAAGCATCAATTTCGTCGATTAGGTGTCGAATCAATGATAGCTCAGGTTTTATAATGTTTGATACAAAATTGCTTGGCAATCTTTGGGGTTCGGTAGTTCTGACAAGGAACCCTTATAGTTTCGTCATGTCCGCCCGAGTGTCTGCTTGGAGACTAATTATCACTAAACAGCTGAAATTATGTAGATATATAGGTCATCATCATCACATCACCATCAGCCTATTAATGTCCCCACTGCTGGGGCACAGGCCTTCCCTATGGATGGAACAGGGAGATTGGGCCATGACCCACCACGCGGGCCCAGTGCGGATGCGGTGGGTGCTAACGACTGCAGATGCAGCCGGGATCAACGGCTTAACGTGCCTTCCGAAGCACGGAGGAGCTCGAGCTAGTAAATTTTTGGTCACCCATCCAATGACCGACCACTGCGAAAGTTGCTTAACTTCAACGATCGCAGCCGAACGCGCTAACCACCCGCGCCATCGAGCTCCTCAGATATATAGGTATGTACATATAATTCACGACGACCAAGTGGTAGAATAAAATGTTGAAATTTTTTTTTTCCACCGTGTACCTCATTGTGTGAAGTACCATTAAATAGGTCCTTTAAAATTACTTCGAGGTTGCTAAGACTATTTTTCGATTTAGGGATCCGTTTGCGAAATATCAAACTTGAAAGTGCTAATTTTTGTTCGAGTAAGGCGTCCCCCCAGCTCTAAAGACCAAACTATTTGCTTGAAAATTTTGGAAAAATTCATGATAATTGTGCTTTTTATGAAATTTTAAAGAAAATTATAATGGTTTAGATAAATAAGTTAGTTTAAGAGTAATCATTAGTCTTGCAACTAAAGTATTAAATTCTTACCTAATAAAAAATCCTTAGAAGGAAACAGTAAAAGTGACTAAGACGAAGTACTTAACTGCTTAAAATAAAGACTTTCTCTGAAATATATTGTTGTAACGTCAGCCAACTACGAAACCTTACACTCGGCCACGGAGGTCGTCAAACATATATATGTATATGTATATAACATCTATCTTCACGTCTGGACTTCGCCGTCACTTAACATCAGGTGGAGTGGAGTAATTTGTCGGACCTTTCTATAAAAAAAAAAAATATATATACATACACATCGTCCCGTGTGACGCTCGTGACGCTCCTATAGTTTCATCTTTCGCCGATTCACTCTCCAACTTTCATGCTGGACGGGAAGACACTCAGACGCACACACACAGATATATATATATATATATCTTTATATATATAATTCTTCTGTGAGTGTGTATGTCACTGAACTTCTCTTAAACGACTGGACCGATTTTGATGAAATTTTTTGTGTGTGTTCAAGGGGATCTGAGAATGGTTTAGATTCACAATTTTGTCCGCTGGACAATCCCTATTTTTTTAGGGCGGTACGAAGTTCGCTGGGTCAGCTAGTATATATATATATAGTAATGTGACGCTCATGGCGCATTTCCGTTTCATCTTTTCTATTTCTCTTTTCACTTTAAAAAAAAGTTACAATAGACCTTAACTCTATGCCCTCGAAGATCTGGAAACCTCACTCATTTATCATCATGATCAGTCAATTAATGTCCCCACTGCTGTTCTCGAGCCTTCCTTAAGGATGGAATCGGAAGATTTAGTCATGACACGGAGGAGCTCACCAGCGCAGGTGGTTAGCGCGTTCGGCTGCGATAGTTGAAGTTAAGCAACTTTCGCAGTGGTCGGTCATTGGATGGGTGACAAAAAAATCTTCTATCTCGAGTTCCGCCGTGCTTCGGAAGGCACGTTAAGCCGTTGGTCTCGGCTACATCTGCAGTTGTTATCAACCCGCCAATCCGCACTGGGCCTGCGTAGAGGATCATGGCCCAATCTCCCTATTCCATCCATAGGGAAGGCCTGTGCTCCAGCAGTGGGGACATTAATAGGCTGATGATGATGAATCATGACGCACCACACGGGCTTGTACAGCTTAGTGGGTGCTTATGAATGCAGATACAGCCAGGACAATGGTCCTGTATTTTGAATACACTTGTATTTCGAGATTATAACTTTTGGTCACCCATCCTACGACCATTCATTACGAAAGTTGCTTAGCTTTCAAGACTGAAGACCGGAAGCGTTAACCATAACTCTTATAGTTATGTTTTTATCTATTTTTTAAGCATTTAACTGCTAGATGTTTAAATCTAAAGAATTTTTTTACTAGAAAAAACTCCACGCGGACCAGGCAGCGGGCGGAACTCGAACTACTATAATTGCTATTTCTTCTTTCAAATGTTTAATACTTGAAAAAGTATTCATTTGACATTGTGGGTTACCTAAAATGCGAAGAGATGGCGCTGCCTTGCAGCTTAAGGCTAGGAAAATTTCGACGCGGCCAATAGGGCCGTGGTAGCATAATGGTCATAACTCTTATAGTACACAGTTATTTCTTCGCAGTCTTATATAGGGCGGAGGTTGCTTCCCCAGACAGGCGCTCCAATCCAAACGTGAAACTCTCTCTCTCATATCTAACATTTTCATAAAATCAAAACAAAATGTCGAGCCTTTTCCTCATTCCTCGTTAATTTCTAAAAAGCGGAATGCTTTCGAAGAATGCTTTACAAAGGTAAAATAAATTATTTTTTCTTTCGAAGTTGAGAAAGAAATTAATTTGAAATAAAAACGCTGTTCACGGGCGAAGAGAAAAATATGAGATTTTAATGTTCATTTGT